TAAGAAAAGCACCTGTTACAGATTTCATGAAAATCACCTCTAAAATTGGACTTTGTGAGGGTTGTGTGTGTGTGTGTGTATAGATACAGATTATTGAATCACTTTACTAAACCATAGGTCTAGTCTGGTTCTCTATTTTTTTATTGTCCCTACATTTTCAGAGGAAATTGTACATTTTTAAAACCTGTTTTTAAATATATTTTCATAAGCTTGTTGGTAGTATTCTCATATCTGTTTTTATATCAGTAATTCCTGTTTCCATCCATTTAAAATTTTTTTTTAATGTAGGAGCTGCTAATCAGAAAACAACCAAATGTATTCTTGTTGGCCCTATCAGAAATCTAGAATTTCAGGCTCTGAGGATGAGTTTGGGAATTTGTACTGGTAGTGTATTTAAATACTGAGAGCTGAGGGAGCATAAACTCAATCATTTTGCTGCTTTCCACTTCAGTATACCAGCTGTCAATTTCTTTTTTTCTTTTTTGGGCAGGTAATATATTCATATGACTCTAAAATCTAAGCAGTTTAAAAAGGTTAATATGTTGAAAAGTCTTCCTAACATTTCTCTTCCCATTTGTCCCAATGTCCTCAGCCTCCTACAGGTAACCACTTTTATTATAAGTGTCATAGGTATTTTTCAGTTGTTTATTTGTGAAAAGTAAATATGAATATATTCATTCTGATTTCCTCCCAATTCTTATTCAACCATCAGCACATGTATATACTTGATCCCCATCTTCATCCCACATACCACATAACCATATATTCTTTTTTATGGCATTTTCCATGTTGTGCCATATTGTTACTTAGTGAGTGTTATGAGTCCCCTGGAAAGATATGTTGAAGTCCTAACTCTAGGTTCCTGTGAATGTAATCAAGTTAAGATGTCCTTTGGGTGGGCCCTAATCTGGTGTCCTTTTTAAGATGAAAGAAATTGAAACAGACACACAGGATGAATGCCAAGTGAGGACAGAGGTAGAGACTAAAGGTGGCAGTTTTAACCTCAGGAATTCCAGAGAGTGATAACCACCAACAGAAGCTAGAAAGAGGCAAGGAAGGATTCTCCTTGATAGGTTTTAGATGGAGCCTGGCTCTGCCAATGCCTTGATTTCAGACTTCTAGCTTCCAGAAGTGTGAAATAATATACTTCTGTTGTTTTAAGCTCCTCTCACCCCCAGTTTGTGGTACTTCGTTATGGCAGTCCTAATAAACTAATATAGTGAGCTGCCTTATTCTTTTCACAGAAGCGTAGTGGTCCATTGTGTGAAAGTACCATTGAATCAGTCTCCTGTTGAAGGACACCAAATTTCATCTCTGGGTGAAACTGTTGGGTAAAATGATAGAAGTGGGAATACTTTGTCAGAGTTACACGTACTTTTCATTTTGTTACATATCATGCAATTGTCTTTTATGGTTTTAACATTTTGCATTTCCGTATGCCAAGATTTTGTTTATTCATTCATGTATTAAGCATCTCCTGTGCACCAGGCACTTAGAACAGTGCCTAGAATGTCACTAAACAGCAATGAGCACAATGGACAACAATTTCTCCTCTAACATACATTTGGGTGGGGGGGGGGAATTAATAAAGGACTTTATATTGTTTGTTGGAATTTAATAATAGATGTGGGAAATGTAAAGCAGGATAAGTAGCATACAAAGTGTCGAGAAGGACCAATTTTAATTTTAAATACAGTGGTAGGCTCCCCTGAGATGACAATATTTGAGAAAAGATTTGAAGGGAGTGAGGGAAGAAGCCTTGGGAATATCTTCTAGGAAATACTTCTGGCTGAGGAAACCTCCATTGCAAATACCCAAAGCAGAGTGTTGCTCTACAAACAGCAAGCAGGTCAGTGTGGCTGGAGATTAGCTGGAGTGATAAAGGAGTCAGGTCACGTGAGCCATTGAGGAACATTGCAAGGAGGGAAGTGTTGAACCAGCCATTGTGGAGGTGACATGGGCGACATTATGGGGGTTCCCCCAGACCCTGAGAACATGGCTTGTGTGCAGGTAGTTAATGTTGGAAGAGGAATGGGGATATAGGGAAGAGTGAAGCAGCCAAGAGAGGAAAGCCAGTCTAAAGATGAATTATTGATATCATCACTTCAGTGGGTCATGGAGCTCAGTCCATAGAGAATGTCCTTCAGAAGTGTCCACCAGGGAGAGAAGGTGGAACATTTACCCACAGGCTTCTATCCTTAGTTGTGAGTTGCCCCAGGGTGTGTTAAACCTCGTGCACTTGCTTTTGGATTGATCAGTAGTAGTTCCATTGCACCATGTAAACTCCTGAGGTGGCATCAGAGATGGCCTGGCACAGAATGCACAAAGTCACTCAGCAGTCCTCAAGGATACTGGCTTGGGGACCTGGGCATATGTTTCAGGGCACCTACCTACGTAAGTCTGATTCGGCCCTTGCCCCTCAGGTTCACCTGTGCCCCACTCTATAAGTCCATGCTACAGTGAGACTTTCAGGTGCTGCTTAGATACAATCTTTGTTACCTTTGTTAATCTTATGTGGCTACAAGAGAATTAGCTCTATAGTTCATTGCTGCACCTGGCTCCAGGGCCTAATTGTTATTCATCATCTCCTACAGCTGTCTGATAGAAGAGTTTGTGCTTATTGAAATACAATTTGCTCATAATAAAATGTACCTTTTAAAGGTGTACAGTTTTATGAATTTCAAGCAACATACACAGCCATGTCACCACCACTATCCTCAAGATATAGAATAATTCTATCACCACAAAACATTCCTTTGTAGTCAGTCCCCTTTACTGTCCCCAGTTCCTAACAACCACTGATGTGATTTCTGTTCCTAGAATTTTTCTTTTTTCAGAATGTCATGTAAATGGAATCATTCAGAATGTAGTGTTTGACTCTGGCTTATTTCATTGAAGACAGTGTTTCCTAACCTTATTATCGTACTCCTCACCCCTCTCACCCTGCAGCCGTTTTAGACATGCTTTTCCTAATCACTTCCTTATGAAATTTTAATAGCACAGATACTGTTTATATCTGCTTATGGACTGTAGCTTTTTGGAGGACCACAGAGAACTGCAATGTCTAGTTTTTGGCACCTAAGAACAGATTTTTTTTTTCCTCCCCTTTGGGGACAGTATTGCTTCTATTAGAAATGCATGACTTAGCATAAAGCTTTGGAGTTTCCTTTGTGTTATTGCATGTATTGGTAGTTCAACCCTTTTTATTACTGCATAGTATTTCATTTCATGGGTGTAATATAATTTGTTTATCCACTAACCAGTTGATAGTTTTAGGTTTTCTTTTGTGTTCTGGCTCAGAAATTGTCTTTTAGATTTTGGTGATTATGAATAAAATTAACAAAAATTAATTTTTAGGGTTTTTTTTTGGTTAGGCATTTCATTTCTCCTGGGAAAAGAAAGTAGAATTGCTGATTTATGACAAGTATAAGTTTAACTTCATAAGAAACTGCAAACCATTTTTCAAAGTAACCATTCCATTTTGTGTTCCCGCCATCAATATAGGTGATCTAGTTGCTCCTCATCCTCTTGAGTATTTGGTATTGCAGTGTTTTTTTTTTCACTTGAGTCACTCTGCTATGTATATATTTGTATTTAATATTAGTTTTTAGTTTGCTTATTTGACTTTTATACTTTGATGAAATGTACTTTCAAATCTTTTCCCCATGTTTTTCAATTGAATTTGTTGACTTATTGCTAAAATTTGATAGTTATTTATATATTTAGATACAAGTCCTTTATTTTGCAGTATTTCTGCAAATATTTATTCTTAATTTGTGACTTGTTTTTTTTTTCAAAAAAATTATGTAAATTATGGGGGGTGGTTTGCATATATTCTCACTTTGTTCTCACTTTATTCTTTAATTTTTCAATTTGAGTTGACATTCAATATTATTTTATGTTAGTTTCAGGTGTACAGTGTTGTGGTTAGACATTTATATAATTTACGAAGTGATCTCTCTAATTAATCTAGTACTCAATTGGCACTATACATAGTTATTACAATATTATTGACTATATTCCCTATACTATACTTCACATCTCCGTGACTATTTTGTAACTACCAATTTGTACTTCTTAATCCCTTCACTTTTTCCATCCAGGCCCTCAACCTCCTTCCATCTGGCAATCATCAGTTTGTTCTCTGCATCTATGAGTCTGTTTCTGTTCTGTTTGTTTATTTTGTTCTTTAGATGCCACATAAATACCCAGAAGTGAAATTCTGGGTCCTAAGGTAGTTCTATTTTTAATATTTTGAGGAACCCCCATATGGTTTTCCATAGTGGCTGTACCAGTTTGCAATCCCACCATTAGTGCACAAGGGTTCCCTTTTCTCCATAATCTTACCAACACTTGTTTTTTGATTTATTGATGATAGCAATTCTGACAGGTGTGAGGTGATATCTCACTGTGGTTTTAATTT